CCTGTTCCGTAGTATGTTAATTGGTCCTTAACATGCTTTGCTTATGTATTTTGATATGATTTTGTGTTCCTCTATGTGAAAATATGTGGTTTGAGATTTTATCTGTTCATCGTAGGAATATCTGTTTGAGTAGTCTGTTTTGGAAATTTAATTGAGGGCCTTATCGGCCACGGAACCCGAAATTGACTACGCCATTGTGGTTGGCATAATTTTTAGGGCCTACGGTGAAATTTAATTGAAAAATTGATTCGGGTCAGATTAAATTGATTAAATTGAGGGTTTAGTGCCCAATTATTTAATATTAATAATTTTGAGTTAGTGGGGCCATATAAGGGCCCTTATTACATTCAATTCTTCTCCTTATATCATTTTGGTTGAAGTTTAACTCTCTAGAAAAGAGAGAGTCGACTTTGAGAGAGAGGGGAGGCACCTTTGGGCATTTTGATTCAAGATTGTGGATTGGGAAGCTACACTCTAGAATTACCAAGAATTGGTGGAGATTGAAGCTCCTAGGTGAGTGATCAACCCTTAATTCATGAATTTGTGTATGTAATAATGTAAATTCGAAGCGAATATCTGATCACGAACATGAATGGTGTTGAGTATGATGGTTATAAGCACCATTTGTACCAATTGTAATAGATATGGAGTCAAGGATTGGCATGCATGCATGATTGATGAAGATATGAAGTTGGAATGCATGGATTAATTATGTTGGAAAATGAATTTGAGTCAAAATGGGCCATGCATGTAAGTAATTCTTGGGATTGAGTTTCATTATGTTGTAACTTGGGGTTTATGCCATGTCACCGTAGGCCCTAAAAATTATGCCAACCACAATGGCGTAATCAATTTCGGGTTCCGTGGCCGATAAGGCCCTCAATTAAATTTCCAAAGCAGACTACTCAAACAGATATTCCTACGATGAACCGATAAAATTTCAAACCACATATTTTCACATAGTGGAACACAAAATCATATCAAAATACATAATCACATCATGTTAAGGACCAATTAACATACTACGGAACAGGGGTGTCACATCTAGGGCTGCCATGTGTATCAGATTCATCAACACCCAGATCTTGGTCCTCCATGACCAGATCCCCTTTTTCCTTTGCAACCGGTGGCGAAGAGTGATCCACCACATCCACAGTTACTCCATGAGCAATACCCCGATTTTTAGTAATCTCCACACTATCAGGCAGGTCCAACAGCTTTGATCGCCTTTCTCCTTCAACCCTATCGGACCAGTTAGTGGACACCGGGGTTAACAACACTGGCATCGTAGATCCAACAGTAGGACGGTCTTCGTCCATCGCCAATCTGGCCTTGATAGCCGAAAGACGGTCAGAAAGGTCTTGGATGGATGACGCCGTAGCCCCACTCCATTGCTTCTCACTATTTTGTGCAACCACAACTAGGTTATCCAACTCACATCCAGAGAGATCTAATCATTTAGGGCTAAATTCTCCAAACGACCCACTGAATCTCTCATTCCCTCTCTCTTCATTAATAATCGCATTAAAGTTTCCTGCAGTAACCAAAGCATCAGATACAGTTTCCATTTCAAGAATGATCTCACAAAAGAAAACGAAACCCTTCAAGAGAGAAGGAGGAGCTTCTCACTCTAACCCATTCTCTAACATTGACTGACTTTCTCTTTTGAGGTTTCCTAAATCATCTAAGTGTTCGATTCTCAAGTCCAAAAGGTTGAATCTTAATTCTCTTTGATTTTTTTCATCCTTCTCTTTTTTTCTCTAACTTTCTCTGTCCTTCTCTATTTTGTTCTACGAACTAATTAGGTTAGGAGACCAATTGTTTCATTAGCTTAACTGGCCAAGTTTAACTCACGCTAACCTTGCTTAGCCTCCAAGAAAGAGAATTTTCTAAGTAAGTGGAGTTTAACGATATTAGTTTAACTTAAGCACCTTATTTAAGGTTTTTTAAATTACCTAAGTGTTCAATTCTAAAGTCCAAAAAGATGAATTTGAATTCCCTTTGATTTTCTTCCTGTTACTCTTTCTCTTTCTCAAACTTTCTCTTCTTGCTCTCAAGAAGAATGTTTCTCTCTAACTTGCTACGTCATTCTCCATCCTCCTCTATTTTGTTCTACAAACAAATTAGCTCCGGCCACCAATTGTTTCATCAACTTAAGTGGGGAAGTTTAACCCAAACTAACCTTGCCTAGCCTCTAAGAAAGAGACCTTTCTGAGTAATTTTAGCTTAACGATATGAGTTTAACTTAAACACCTCATTTATGGCCTTCTAAATCACATTAAGTGTTCAATTCTCAAGTCCGAAAGGATGAATTTGTATTTCCTTTGATTTTCATCCTATTTCTCTTTCTTTTCTCTAACTTTCTCTTCTAGCACTCAAGAAGAACGGTTCTCTCCAACTTCCTTCGTCGTTCTCCATCCTTCTTAGCTTAAGCCACCAATTGTTTCGTTAGCACAATTGGCCAAATATAACTCAAACTAACCTTGCTTAACCCCTAAGAAAGAGAATTTTCTCAGTAACTTTAGCTTAACGATATGAGTTTAACCTAAGCACCCCATTTAAGATTTTCTAATTCACCTAAGTGTTCAATTCACAAGTCCAAAAGGGTGAATTTGAATTTCCTTTGATTTTCTTCCTATTTCTCTTTCTTTTCTGCAACTTTCTCTTTTGGCTCTAGAGCAAAATCTTTCTCTCTAACTTTCTCCGCCGTTCTCCATCCTTCTCTATTTTGTTCTACGAACTAATTAGCTTAGGCCAGCAATTGTTTCATTAGATTAAGGGGCCAAAGTTTAACTCAAACAAACCTTGCTTGGTCCTCTAAGAAAGATAATTTTCTGAGTAATTTTAGCTTAACCATAATAAGAGTTTAACTTATGCACCTCATTTAAGGTTTTCAAAATCGCCTAAGTGTACAATTCTCAACTCCAAAAGGATGAATTTAAATTCCCTTTGTTTTTCTTCATCTTTCTCTTTCATCTCTCTAACTTTCTCTTCCACCTCTCAAGAAGAACCATTCTCTCTAACTTAACCATACTTGTTCTTAAGTGGCCAAGTTTAATTCATCGCCTTATTTAAGGTGTTCTAAATCACCTAATCGTTCAATTCACAAGTCCAAAAGGATGAATTTGAATTCCTTAAGATTTTATTCCTATTTCTGTTTCTTTTCTACAACATTCTCCTCTAGCACTCAAGCAAAATGTTTCTCTCTCCATCCTTCTCTGTTTTGTTCTACGAACTGGTTAGCTTAAGTGGCCAAGTTTAACTCAAACTATCCTTGCTTAGCCACTAAGAAAGGGAATTGTCAGAACAACTATACCTTAACGATATTAATTTGACTTAAGCATCTCATTTAAGGTTTTCTAAATCACCTAAGTGTTCAATTCTAAAGTCCAAAAGGATAAATTTGAATTTCCTTCGATTTTCTTCCTAGTTCTCTTTCTTTTCTTTTCTTTTTTCTTCTAGCACTCAAGAAGAACGTTTCTCTCTAACTTCCTTCGTCGTTCCCCATCCTTCTTAGCTTAAGCCACTCCTAGGTAAGACAACATGATCTCGTGCCCAAAAGAAGGGGTAACTAAAACAGAAAATAAAAACTCACAATTGCCCATATATCATTTTTGTCCCCAAACAACCCCTATCATCAAAGATAATTGAAGGAAACTTGGGGACGGTATATGGGCAAAATAGCAACAACAAAAAAAAACTAATTAAAACACTGTCTGCGAATGAACAAAAACTGCCACTAAAAAACTAGGCCAAAAAACAAATGGGCCCCTCAATAACAACCCACTATTTTAACCAGAAATAAACCCAAAACATTGTGGCCCATTAAAACCGTGGGCTCAACACCAAAGTAGACATACAGCCACAATGCTAGAGATAGCAGACGTGGAGCCCACCTGGCATCAGCCCAATCCTTAAGTCATACAGCAAATAGACATACTTCTCTTTCTTTTCTCTAACTTTCTCTTCTAGCTCTCAGAAAGAATGTTTCTCTCGAACTTTCTCTGTCGTTCTCCATCATTTTCTATTTTGTTCTACTAACTAAGTAGCATAGGCAACCGATTGCTTCATTAGCTTAAGTGGCCAAGTTTGTCTCAAAACCAACCTTGCTTAGCCTCTAAGAAAGAGAATTTTTCGAGCAATTGTACCTTAACGATATTAATATAACTTAAGCATCTCATTTAAGGTTTTCTAAATCGCCTAAGTGTTCAACTCGCAAGTCCAAAAGGGTGAAGTTGCATTCCCTTTGATTTTCTTCCTAATTCTCTTTCTTTTCTCTAACTTAGTCTTCTAGCTCTCAAAAAGAATGTTTCTCTCTAACTTTCTCCGTCGTTCTCCATCATTTTCTATTTTGTTCTACTAACTAATTAGCATAGCCCCCCAATTGTTTCATTATCTTAATTGGCCAAGTTTAACTCAAACTGAACTTGCTTCGCCTCTAACAAAGAGAATTTTCTGAGTAATTTTAGCAGAACGATATCAGTATAACTTAAGCACCACATTTAAGGCTTTCTAAATCACAAAAGTACTCAATTCTCAAGCCTGAATGGATGAATTTGTATTTCCTTTGATTTTCTTTTTCTTTCTCTTTCTTTGCTCTAACTTTCTCTTCTAGCTCTCCAGAAGAACGTTTCTCTCTAATTTTGTTCGGCCTTCTCTATTTTGTTCTAGGAACTAAGTAGCTTAGATTCAGCACCTTAAGTGACCAAATTAAATTCAGCACCGTATTTAAGGTTTTCTAAATCTCCTAAGTGTTCAATTCTCAAGTCCAAAAGGATGAATTTGAATTCCTTTTGAATTTCTTCCTATTTCTTTTTCTTTTCTACAACTTTCTCCTCTAGCTCTCCAGCAAAATGTTTCTCTCTTTCTCCGTCGTTCTCCGTCCCTCTCTATTTTGTTTTACGAGTTAATTATCTTACGCCACCAATTGTTACATTAGCTTAAGTGGCAAAAGTTTAACTCAAACTAACCTTGCTTAGCCTCTAAGAAAGAGAATTTTTTGAGTAATTTTACCTTAACGATATTAGTTTAACTTATGCACCTCATTTAAGGTTTTGAAAAACGCCCAAGTGTTCAATTCTCAAGTCCAAGAGGGTGAATTTGAATTCCCTTTGTTTTTCTTCGTCTTTCTCCTTCGTTTGTCTAACTTCCTCTTCTAGCTCTCAAGAAGAACATTTCTCTCTAACTTAGTCTGCCCTTCTCCATCCCCCCATATTCTGTTCTAGGAACTAATTAGCTAAGGCCACCAATTGTTTCATTAGCTTAAGTGGCCAAATTTAACATAAACTAACCTTGCTTAGCCTCTAATGAAGAGAATTTTCTCAGCAATTGATGCTTAAAGATATTAGTTTAACTTAAGCACCTTATTTAAGGTTTTCTAAATCCCCTAAGTGTTCAATTCTCAAGTCCAAATGGATGAATTTGAATTCCCTTTGATTTTCTTCCTATTTCTCTTTCTTTTCTCTAACTTTCTCTTCTTGCTCTGAAGAAGAATGTTTCTCTCTAACTTTCTCTGTCGATCTCCGTCCTTCTCTATTTTGTTCTACTAACTCATTAGCTTATGCCACCAATTGTTTCATTAGTTTAATTGACAAAGTATAACTCAAACTAACCTTGCTTAGCCCCTAAGAAAGAGAATTTTCTAAGTAAGTTTAGCTTAAGGATTTGAGTTTACGTAAGCACCTCTTTTTTTGGGTGGATAAGTCATAATATAAAAAGACAAAAAACTTACACCACGACAAGGGGCATACCCCAGGCCCTAACCAAAACACTATACAGGAAACCAGAGAAAGAAAAACAAAAACTAAGCCATTCCAGAATTACCCAGAAAAACTGACGAAACAAAACAGAACTATCTGGACAAAATAAATGAAATACGTCCTAACCTAAATAAACCATACATAATAGAAATAGCCAAAATATGTTCATGTGCCGCATGAAAAATGAGGAGCATGAACACACTCGATCACAGGTAGCAAAAAGTCAGATGAAATCCATATGTCATGTATACCCGTGTACATCCCACACGGGTAGGCAAAACACCAACAGATTCTAATGTAAACAAACATAATAGAAAATCAAACTTCACACACGAGGCGCATATAGCAGCCATCAACACAGGTAGGTCCAGCTTCAAGCCACGAGACACACTGAACTGAAAAGAACAAGATAGGCAGACCCACCCATCAACACAGGCAGATCCAGCCATCAACACAAGCAGACAGCCTTCAACACAGGCAAATCCAGCCAGCAACACAGGAAGAACAAGACAGCACATGTGACCCGGACAGATTCTACACATTATAGTAGACGCTGTAATGCAGCAAGGACCAAACAGAATTAAGTAACCAACAATAGAGTACTTTGCAAAACTCAGAAATCTGAAGCAGTTAACATCACACATATAATTGCTCACTACACTCAACCCACAAGTATCTATGCTCACATCACTCGCGAAACAACTCCATATACCTGCAAAAGAAAAAAATACAGTGATATATATAAGCATGTTAGTTCCTCTCAATGTGGCTAGTAAGTTGGGGGTTATGAAGTGTTTATTCCTCACACGAAACTCAACCCTCAGACTGGTTGGTGTACACTCATCCATCAGTTTTCCAGGACTCCAAGCACCTATATGAATAGCAAACATTAGGAAACCCCACAATTTATTTGCTAACCTTCACTCAACCCACATTTAGTGAACTCTCAATCCTCACATCAGCAGCAGCATGCTATAGTACGAGGCAGTTTCCATGAACTAAGATACCAGTTGTCATTATGGTTAGTCTTCAAATTGGTTATATGCATTACCCTGAACCTAACCATATCCACAATACACTTAATAACAACCTCTTCAGGGACCATATCTTTACTAAACACTCTATTATTCATAGCAATCCATAACTGGTACACAGTACAAGTAAAGGCAAGCTTGGTAATAATAGCCCCCAGGGATTTCCCTTTCACAGATTTAGCAATAATCTGGACCAAATCATCCCAAAGGAGGGATGGCCAATCAACATTTATTTTACCTTTAATACAAGACCACACTTTTTCCGAAAATGGACATTCAAAAAAAAGGTGATTGTGGTCTTCATGATGGTACTGACAAAATGCACACACAGCAGATTGCGTCACACCAAAAAGATGCAACCTGTCCCCAGTGTTAAGACGGCCAAGGATCGCCATCCAAACCACAAAACTCACTTTAGGGATATTGTGAGGGCCCCAAATTAAATGTGACCAATTCACATGGTCATAGTGAGTTCGTAACGCATTCCAAGTGGATTGGATGGTGAAGTTCCCATCATGAGCAGGACACCAACTAACACTATCATGGCCACCAGTAGGGAGGAGATTTGAAGGAGTTTTGTTAATGAGATCCATAATCTCCCAAGAAGAAGGAAATGGCCATCTCCAAGAATTTCCCTCCACAATCTGACTCACCTTAGCATCTATGCTTAAGGCGGTGTCGTACACAATACGCCTCCCAAACTTATCCCAAATAGAACCCATAGGATGCCAATTGTCAAACCATAAGAAAACTCCAGATCCATCTCCCACCTTATACTTGATTAAGGGGTAAATTATAGGCCTTAGGGAGAGAACTTTCCGCCAGACCCAAGAGGGGTCATTTGGCACCCTAACCCTCCAAAAACTCCTACCTTTGAGGAGATAAGACTTAACCCAGCTACACCACATAGATTGCTCACCCCCAGAGAGGAGGAACCAAACATGTTTCGCAATAGCAGCTTTATTCCACACAGAGATGGACTTAAACCCCAGACCCCCTTCCTTCCTGGGAGAGCAAATTCTATCCCAAGAAACCTTAGCCCCATGAGTTTTCATCTCACAACCCGACAAAAAAAAAGCCCTAAAAAGACGCTCGATAGACCGAGTGACCTTCTTTGGGAGAATGAATAGAGAGGTCCAGTACACTTGCATCGAAAACAAAACAGATTGGATCAGTTGAGCACGGCCAGCATAAGTAAGACACTTATTTGTCCAGCTCTTAATCCTTTTAGTTACCCGATCCACAAGTTGATCACAATCAGAGGCTTTAAGTTTCGTGGAAACTAAAGGGACCCCCAGGTATCTCACAGGCAACTTGCCTTCACTGAATTGACAAACCCCAAGAATCTCATCCCTCAACTCATTATCACAACCAGAAAAGAATATATGACTCTTAGCAGGGCTAGGTGACAACCCAGACAGGCTCTTAAATTCTTCTAACCCCAGCTTAATGGACCGAATAGTGAACACATCCCCCTTACAGAATATCATTAAATCATCTGCAAAGCACAAGTTAACTATCTTAGGTTGATCACATCTCCAATGGAATTTAAATGTAGGATGCGAAGCCTTCTCAGCCAAAATTCTAGAGAGAATTTCCATAACTAAAACAAAGAGGTAAGGGGACATAGGGTCACCTTGTCTCAAACCTCTCTCCCCCCTAAAATAAACATGCAAACTCCCATTAATGCAAATGGAATAGGTGGGACTAGTCATGCAAGCTTTGACCCAAAGAACCATGTTAGGGGGGAAACCCATAGCATTTAGGATATCAAGAACAAACTCCCATCTTACATTATCATATGCTTTCATGATGTCCACTTTCATAGCACACCTGGGAGACTGAGAAAATTTATGATACCCCCTCATAAGTTCCTGTGAAAGGAAGATATTGTCAGCAATTCTCCTACCGGGGACAAAAGCTGATTGCACAGGGTCAATAAGATCATTCAGAACAGATTTGATCCTATCAGCAATGATCTTAGAAATACACTTGTACAAAGTATTACAGCAAGAAATGGGTCTAAAATCCCCCACTTTTTCAGCATTTGGGATCTTCGGGATAAGAGCAATGGAGGTGCTATTTATTTCCCGAAGAAGCTCTCCCGATGAGAAAAAAGATTTGATGGCTTGGACAACCTCTCTCCCCACAATGTCCCAGGTTTTCAGAAAAAAACCCGCAGAATAGCCATCAGGGCCGGGGGCTTTGTTGGGTTTTAGAGACCTGAAAGCATCAATGATTTCTTTTTCAGTAACATCCCTAGCAAGACTATGATACTGAGTGTCAGAAACTCTATTGGTGATAAGACCATTAATCCTCTCAGACCCATTATAATTGTCAACAAACGGCTTACCGAACAAATTTGTGAAGTAGTCCACAAAAGAGTTATGGATCTCAGCACTATTAGTCACCCTCTCCCCATTCGGGAGCACAACACTATGAATACGCCCCTTATTCACATTCCCCTCAAATCTCCCACTCAACGACTTTGAATTCCTGTCCCCTAAACCAAGCCAATGGACACGAGATTTTTGATGGGCAAGACTTTCCTCAGCTTTACTGAGATCAACATATTTAATGTAAGCAGCCCTTTCCATTTCCTGAAAATGGAGATTCATCGGATCTTTATCAAGCTTAATTTGAGAATTAAGAAGTTGATCCTTAGCAGCACCAACACGGATGGAAATCTCACTATACTCTTTTTTGTTCAGATCTCTTAGGATAGGCTTAAGGGTTTTAAGCTTCTGACAAACCCTAAACATAGGGGATCCCTTAATGTATTTAACCCAAACACCATGCACGCTCGGGAGGAAACTAGAGTGATTAGCCCAAAAGTCAAAAAACTTAAAAGGCTTTTTGAATTTTGCCTCCTCACCCCCAAGATGCACAACAACTGGGGAATGATCAGATACGCCCGGAGGAAGAAAGAGAGCATAGGAGTTAGGGTTAGCAGACAACCATCTCTCATTTGCAAGAACTCTATCAATTTTTGAAGTAATAAAATTCCCACCCCCCCGTATTTCACATCTTCTTCATTAATTACTAGTCCTTGATTAGGTATTGAGGGCAAAGTTGTTGACCTAGAACTTACTGATGAGTTACTTCAAAATAATCGACTCATTGTTTTGTTTAATTAATCAGTTTTACAGATATCTTAATACATACCCTATTCTTGTCAGTTTTATCACATACCTAGTAGACATACATACCCTATTCGGAAGACCCCTAAGTCCAACACGGCCTAACACTAAGGACTTACTCAGGACAGGGACGAAAGTGGGTGACTTAAACGAGGTGATATAACAAACTAATCTTTCGGGTGATTAAGATGAACTGAAAACAGGATTAATCAAATAAACAATAGAGAACATTGAGTAGAAGCAGCAAATCAGTTAGAAACAGGATACAACATAACCTGGCTCTGATACCAAAAGATCAGGAAGATAATGGGCCAAAATAGGAAGATAAAAAAAAACTAATTAAAACACTGTCCGCGAATGAACAAAAACTACCACTAAAACCTAGGCCAAAAAACAATGGGCCCCTCAAAACAAATCCATTTTTTAAACAGAAATAAACCCAAAACATTGTGGCCCATTAAAACGGTGGGCCAACACCTAAGTAGACATACAGCCACAGTGCTAGAGATAGCAGACGCGAAGCCCACCCGGCATCAGCCCAAACCCGAAATCATACAGCAATAGACATACTTCTCTTTCTTTTCTCTAACTTTCTCTTCTGGCTCTCGGAAAGAATGTTTCTCTCGAACTTTCTCCGTCGTTCTCTATCATTTTCTATTTTGTTCTACTAACTAAGTAGCATAGGCCACCGATTGTTTCATTAGCTTAAGTGGCCAAGTTTCCCTCAAAACCAACCTTGCTTAGCCTCTATGAAAGAGAATTTTTCGAGCAATTGTACCTTAACGATATTAATATAACTTAAGCATCTCATTTAAGGTTTTCTAAATCACCTATGTGTTCAACTCGCAAGTCCGAAAGGGTGAAGTTGCAATTCCTTTGATTCTCTTCCTAATCTCTTTCTTTTCTCTAACTTAGTATTCTAGCTCTCAAAAAGAATGTTTCTCTCTAACTTTCTCCGTCGTTCTCCATCATTTTCTATTTTGTTCCACTAACTTTTTTTTTTTTTTGGTGAATAAGACATAAATTAAAGACAAAGGATATACAAGATTACAAGGGGAATACCCCAGGCCCTACAGCAACTATACAGCAAAGATCAGCAACCAAGAACCAAAGAGATAACGCAAAAAGAGAAACCAAAAAACACACTGTTCAGGCAACCATATCAGAGAGATAGGGATAATGAACACTGCGAAAGAACAGCTCAAAACCAAGAACTAAAAAGCCCATAGCAGCACAAAACATCGGCACCAAAACCGAAAACAGGATTGATGAACAAAACAGAACCTGTGCACACATATCTAGGTGCAAGATGCAAACTACTTTCAAAACCAGCACCAAACAGTAAAGCAAAGTAAAGACAAAAAACAGGTCAACATGGACCACTTAATTAATTAGGCATAGGCCCCCAATTGTTTCATTAGCTTAATTGGCCAAGTTTAACTCAAACTAACCTTGCTTCGCCTCGAACAAAGAGAATTTTCTGAGTAATTTTTAGCATAATAATATCAGTTTAACTAAAGCACCACACTTAAGGCCTTCTAAATCACAAAACTACTCAATTCTCAAGTCCGAATGGTGAATTTGTATTTCCTTCGATTTTTCTTCTCATTCTCTTTCTTTGCTCTAACTTTCTCTTCTAGCTCTCAAGAAGAACGTTTCTCTCTAATTTTGTCCATCCTTCTCTATTTTGTTCTAGGAACTAAGTAGCTTAGGCCTCCAACAGTTTCTTTAGCTTAAGTGACCAAATTAAATTCAGCATCTTATTTAAGGTTTCTAAATCACCTAAGTGTTCAATTCTCAAGTCCAAAAGGATGAATTTGAATTCTTTTGAATTTCTTCCTATTTCTCTTTCTTTTCTACAACTTCTCTCCTCTAGCTCTCCAGCAAAATGTTTCTCTCTTTCTCCGTCGTTCTCCATCCTCTCTATTTTGTTTTACGAGTTAATTAGCTTACGCCACCAATTGTTTCATTAGCTTAAGTGGCCAAAGTTTAACTCAAACTAACCTTGCTTAGCCTCTAAGAAAGAGAATTTTCTGAATAATATTTGGATGTTCAGCAGGCCTTTTGATGAGTGTATGTGTAACGAGGTGATGGCAGCTCCCAGCGCCTTGCTTTGTTACAAGTTACGCTGGTTCTTCGCAGATTCTTTTCGGAATGGGGCTGTTCGGCAGTTCTTCTCACTGTTTCGGCAGTTCCAGCTTGCTATATCTCGATCAGGTAAACAGAATGGCATGGAGGCATGGTGGCTGCTTGTTGTGTACATTTATGAGGCAGCTGGAAGAGTGTATGTATTCCGTGGTGATGGCTGCTTCAAGCGCCTTGCTGTGTTATATGAGAGAGTTAATCAGTTGTCTCTTGTATTGTTTGTTCATTATTTTATTGTATAATTTCTCCTACCCCTACGGGGCTGTGTAGGAGGAATTAAGTGCATTTCATTAGGTTGTATTATAGGTATTCTAGCAAATGGTTGGGATGGGTTTGGTTTGGTATTCTCATCAGTTTCTCTTGGGGTTTTTTTTTGTATGATAATGCTACAAGTGCCTAGTCCTACGGGCTGTGTAGGACGGGTTCTTTGCTGCTGTGCTCTCTTAGCTGGGACGGTCTTGTGTGGGATGCTGGTTTTTTATTTGTTACACATGGACTTTGTTCATCCCGTTTGGCTTTTCCTCGAGCTTCGGATGTAGTTGTCTCTTGGCCTTGTATAGTTTTGTGATTGTGCCGAGGTTTGTGCTCGGGTTTTGTTTGTAAGGGCCTGGGGGTATGCCCCTTGTAATTGTGTAAATCTTTCTGTTTTATTTTATTTCTTATTCACCCAAAAAAAAAAAAACATTATGTTTTTCTTTTTTGCTTTTTTTTCTTTCCCTATGATTTACTACTAGTTGGTTGTGCAATGCAAGATAAATAAAGGATAATTATAAATTTTAAAAAAAAATCAAGAATTTAAATTCTAATATTTTAATTTATTTTTAATCTAAATCATTCTCGTTAAATAAAAATTGAGAAAAAAATTATTTTAAAATGATTTTAGTTATTAAACTCAATATAGATATAAATAAAATGTTTAAAATATATGAGTTTAATGATTAAAATTTCAATTGATTTTAGTTAATAAAAATAGGCAATGATTTAGACTGAAAATAAATTAAAAGTTTAGGATTTAAATTGACAAAATTAAAAACTCAGGATTTACCTTGTTGTAAGGGCCAACTTTGAGGGGTTTTTTTTTTTTTTTTTTGGTAATTTCTGCTAAAATAATTATGTTTTGAAATAACATTTTATATATTTTAGTTCAATTATCTACCTGTATGTCTCTACACATTTATATGTCCTGTTCCATAATTATCTCATCCCTTGCATTGAGAAAAATTAATCACAATTAAAATAATGTTAGTTTACGTTTTTATAGTTGTTTTGAGTTTTGATTTACAAATTTCTTTATACTGTTGCCCTAACATTATA